GAGATGCTGAACAACTGCTTGGACGAGATACGGGCACCAACATCGGAAACACGGGTATTCATGCGTTGTGACGTTATATTCGACCAGTCCGCCCAAGGGCGGAACCTGAACACCATGATCGGCAGAGCTGCACACATAGAGTTCTTGGAGAATGACATCTATGCCAGGTTCATCATGTGGTCCTTTCCAGAGTTGTTCCGATGATGATGATGTGCTCCTGGACCTGGAGTGTGTGTAACTGTCAAAGACCTGGAGTTGTGAGCGATGATCTGAATATGTATCACACAAGTCGTCATTATTCATTACAGTATATAAGCGCAGCATTCGTGTTGTTTTTCATGAATTTTAGATGCGAGACCCATTTTTGCTCTGTTGCCCCATCAGCTAGCAACCCTCGGTAGGGGGGTCTTTGTCTGTTTTTAAAAAAGTGTTAAGTTACGGTTGCGGAGCGTAAACTTTATCTCGATAGCCATGTTCGTGGTCTCAGACAAATTATGATTTGGTATCAACAACTAGTTGGATTGGGGTGAGTGTAGAAATACGAGTGTGATTTCTGAAAGAAATGGTGGTGTGCTATATTTTGTGAGAACAAAGTGTTCAATAGCATTTAAAATATGACAAACTCACAAACCGCTTTTTCATAAAATACTCATATATATAGAAAATAAATGTCTTTTGCAAAAATATTTATAAAACCAAAACATTACATGTGTCAAAAGATAGTTTTATGCAAATCAAACCAAGCCCTATTCCTTGAATTATCCATATGCATGTCTTCATCTACTCCATAGGCCGGGTAGGGTTGCATTTGTTGAGTACTTTATATTCACCTTTATTTTGTTACATAGAAGATCTAGCTTTGCCCATGGTCCGGACTTAATTAGATTTCTAGTGTGCTTTGGTTTGTGCATGTCTTTGGATCCATCTATATCTTTGTTTTGGCATGGTTTAAGCATTCACTTTCGTTTTAACCACTACTTTGAGAACTATCCTAATATAACAAATATGTGATATGCGTTTAGATATACATTGTATCTTTTTTCACATAATGAAACCAAGTTCTAGCCTCTACCATCCGTAGATGGTATACCGCTGATTGTTAGAATACAAACCAAAGCCATAAGGCTCGCACATCAGCGAAAAAACAAAGTTCAACGAGCGCAGCAAAGAAGGAAAAAAACTAAGCCGCGATTCGAATCCTAAAACTCCATCAAAACTTCGCAAATACTGCCAATATTAAGGTATCCCAGCTTCTGCAGCCCATCTAAAACAGTGGATGCTCCTCTCTATATAGCATGGACCACTGTCGGATCCAGAAAGTCGACCTGGAAATTACCTCCGTTGAAGTCCAGATTTTTCCATGCTGAGAACTCGCACGCTTCGGGACCTTCCGAACCTCCTCGATAGCTGCAGTAGCCATCTCTGTCGCCAACATTGGATCCTTGCCGCCCTTGCCGTACTCACCAGTAACTGCCATCTTACGTTTCGCAGGAACCACTTCCCCACCACCCAGCTTACCAGCTTACCAGTAGCTGCCATCTTACGTTTCGCAGGTCCCTGCTCGGCCAGTTTGCTAGCTAGCCATTGGACTTTAGTGATATGAATTTTAATATATTGTATATATGAATTTTGATATATTGAATTTAGTGATATGAATTTTGATATATTGTATATATGAATTTTGATATATTAAATTTAGTTATATGAATTTTGATATATTGAATTTAGTGATATGAATTTTGATATATTCCGGGCTCTGTCTAAATGGCATGAAAATTTCTAGGATAAACTTAGTTCAACCTCTAATTAATTACTTTGTACCGTCACACAGAAATTCATTTAGACCATAAAAAATAGCAAACCATCTCTGAAAAATCCGAAACATACAAACCAAATTAAACATAAACTTAGGTGTTCTAGTTAGGGTATAAATTATAATTGATACATGAATTACATGACAAATAAACATAAGCCGTACAAACCTATTTAAACATAACCCATACGAACCTAAACATAAACCTTACAAACCTAATAAAATATTAGTGCGTTCTCGGTCGTCTCCAGACAACGTAATGCATGTCTCGTGTTGTGTAACCGTGGACAATATCTATGTAATTCAACGTCCACATTAACTCTCTCTTGCCTCACAAACCCGAGGACATGGTCGCCCATAGATATAACCTACTGCAGGACTTTTGGGGACCAACTCCAGAGTAAGTTTCAGGCGGCACTAGTGTCCATGTGTAGTATACTGGTGTCCATCGTAGTCCCAGACGTACCCAGTTACTCAATAGTTTGCTCTAGAATGGCGTGCAAACCACATGCAGCATAAGTAAAATCATGGAGCAAAATCTACAAGTGGAGAAACCAAAAAACAATCAGAGAACATTCATATAACAATAACAAATAAATAAACACGACTCTGATATCATACACAACTTTACCACATCCATTTGGTTGTATCTGGCAATCCTTTCGCTTACTTGCGCCACGTCAGGATTACGCTCACGTAAAGCTTGTATCTCAAAGAACGAGTAATTAGGCACTTGATAGCCAATGCAGTCAAGTGCCTGTAAACAATGCATCATGTTATTGAACTCGGCGCCTCTCCGATTCGGCATCGGACGTCCCATATGCATGATTTTCTTTGCGCTGCTCTGGTACACCCCTAATAGGGATGTCAAAGGCGATATTATGCCTCCATAACCGACCACCTTCAGCATTCACGACCTCACTTGTCGTGGCAACATGGATGTCTCACACCTAGAGCAACCATAGTGCTGATTCCAGCCGGGTAGGGGAGATAATCTGTGACATATGCAACAATCATATTATGAATGAATGTATATATAAAACAATCATATTAGCATGCAAAACTTAGATGGTGAAAATATTTTATACTATAACTGAATCTGGAACCGTGGAACGGCCATATTTGGCTCGAATGGCAGATCGCCAAGGTGGAAACCTGGTGCCTGTGGTAGGGGAGGTCCGCCATTCATCATACCTGATAAAACTGAAAAAATATGCAAATAAATATAGAACCCCATATAAATATTATGCAATATATTAGGGAAATATATATAAAATGTGCCAAGATACAAATGTGCCAAGTAAATTTAAACATTTTGCAACCATTTTGCACTAAAGCTCATTAAATGCACTAATGTGTCTTAACATTAATCATGCATGTTAACATAATTAATGTCTTAAACAAATTTTTATTAAAAATATATATATTAACATTTGTGTCTTAACATTGGTGTTGGCACCCTACGTGTTGTCACATAATTTATTTTAATCGATTATTAACTCTCATCAAGAATTAATGTTAAGGTTTTTGTAAAATATTGAAAAAAATGCTGACAGGTAAAGATAACAACAAAGATCTAGAAATCATTATAAATGTTTAGGGTTACGTAAAAATAAAAAAACTCCATCATTATTTCTAATCTAAAAAAGCACAAATTTCTCTATTTATTTCTAAACCATGAAATGAGCTACACTAGCAACGAAAAATGAGAGGATAAAGTTGCTAACCTTTAGAACCTAGAATGGATGGAGGAATGAACTCTTCTCAACTAGCCCAAGAGCAAGAACTCCTTCAACCCGAGAGCAAGAGAATAGAGAGCTTCAATAATTGTTCTGGATGGCTCGAGCTGGGGGACGAAGAAAGATGGATATATAACGTGGACATTTAGTCCCGGTTGGTGGATCAGTTCGGGACTAAAGGTCATCCTCTAGTCCCGGTTAGAGCCACCAACCGGGACTAAAGACCCCTTTTGCGTCTGGCTGCGACATTAGCCGTTGGACTCAGGACTAATGCTCACTTTAGTCTCGGGCCCAACTCTAGCCGGGAATAAAGCCAGTGAGCCTACGTGAGAGGCGTAGCCCGTGGATGTGGCATGGTCCAGAGGAACGTATCTTGTTAAAATAGAACTATCGTTTGTTAGACTTTCGCTGTTGAACTCTGTGAACTGGAGCAGTGTGCTAACAAACTTGGGATGCAACTTTAACTACCTTTTATGTTATTTAAAAACTGTGCGAGCTATGTATGTTTGCCTCTTCTATGCAATGGATTCCGAGCGATGCGTAGAGGATAGCATGATGGTGCGATTCTAGTGACGAGCAATTGGAGGGTCCTCAACAGAGTCACCATAATCTAAGCTAAGGTTTAGAGTAAATGCATGTTGAAGAATCTAAGCTAAGGTTTAGAGTAAATGCATATTGAAGATTCATGGAGGTGACATGCAAAGGAGAGAACTATGGATATGGATGAAAATTATATATAGATCAATAATTGATAAGTTTATTACAACTAGGTGGAGAGATATTACAAAGCATCCTAAGCTTATTGTGTTAGAAAATGAATAAAGTGCAAAAACATGAAAATTGATATAAATAGTTTTATTACTTGTAGGTATTAAACATTACTTCCAGTCCCATTATGAAAAGCGCATTTTGTAAAGGAAAAAAAACCCAAATTTTATAAACTTTGACCAATAATTACTCAAATTTAATAGAAGCTTAGGACATAAATTACATCAACGTATAGATTTGTGTTCAAAATACCTTTGAGGTAATATTTACTTTTGCAAATGACAACGCGTTGTAGGAGAAATTAACAGTCAAAATCTATTTAATATGCTTTTTTCTTGATAAAAAATTGTTTATCATCAATTAGGGATGGAGAGAATAACATATGTAAAACCTATGTCTCATAAGAGTCTAGCACTCTAGCCCGTGTGGTAGCATATAGAATTATAGATTGATGGGCTAGCAATACCGAAATAATATGCTATTTGTGCATTTTTTCTGCAAACTTTATTAAAAAGTTGGAGACGATTAATTTAACTAAGGACAAAACTAAAAACAGCTTCGAATTTCAAATGGAAGGAGCAGTGAAATTAAATGGCTATACATTGGAATGCTACCCCACCCCCCCCAAAAAAAAAAAAAACTACACGTAGAGAACTAGAGAAGTGAACTGATGCGATCCATCAGAAGTACAAAGCCCAGATGACCTTGATTTCGACCTGGGCGCTGCCGATGCCGAAACGCTGCACCTCCTGCCCGGAGGGTTCAGGGCGGAAACGAACAACGACGGGTTCAGGGACCAGGAGGAGACCCTCAGCCGCCGTGTGGTTAGAAGAAGCGACCGAGATGTGCAGGGCGGCCGCTATTAGGAGCTGCGAGGTGAGTGGCACCGCAACAACGGACTGCGACAGGGGGACCTTGGGGAGTCGCGGGTGAGAGCCACTTTGCCCTCTGCGTCCTGGCAGAACAGCATGCTCTGGTCATCCAGACCTCGGCAACCGGCGGTGATCCTGCCATGGACGAGGATGTCGGCGGCAGCGCCTTGCTCGGCGAGCAGGAGCCTGACCTGCACGGTGGCTTCCACCGCGTTACTCAACACCGCGTAGGTCACCTCTAAGGGCCCATGGCTTGTGCTGATGGTTCGTGTCAACACTCTGTCGTACGCAGCGTCGTCGTCCTGCCGTCGGTATGGTGGTAATTCTTCGTGGAGATGTCGATTCTGACGTAGTCTGTCGTGAATTTGCCAGCCACGTCGATGGAGTCTGTCGTCGTGGAGATGCCAACGTCAACGTTGGAGCTGGAGTTTGTCGTGGGGCTGTCAATCTCAATGGAGACGCTCCCGTACGCGGAAATTGCCCTGTAGGGTCCAGTCAGCACCAGATCATGAACCTGGTCGAATTGGATACGTGAGAAAAACCATCATTCAATCAGATGCCGGAAAACACACCCCAACACGCTGCGGCCAACGAACGCTCGAAGACTGGGCGGACTGCCGGCTCCCCTCCCCCATACGCTGCCTTTCCCTACCTCCAGCTCCACTCCACAATCGCTTCATTTCTCTTCTCTACAACTAAAAAATTCCTATGGTCAACATCTACACGGCAGGACGATAGGTCGTGCGACCCCATGTCTACCGGTATAGAATCACCGCAGGAAACAAAAAAACCACACCGACATGTGGGCCCTTCTACGCTCCGCCCAGCGTCGTCTCGCCTTCCACGCGCAAGCGCTCCATCCGGCCCCAAATCAGCGCACTCCCCTCGCAACCCCACGATTCACGAGCAGCCCTCTCGCTCCACCCTCGCGCACCGCCCGCACCATCGCAGGCCGGCCCACGTCGCCGGGCATCTCCCTCACGCAGAACTCGGGAGCCGCCGCCGTTGCTGAGGGTGTCGCCGTGCCTGGCTAGGAGAATGGGGCGGACCCGCCGTCGATCCACGAGGCCTTCGTCCTCGCAGGCTTGCGATATGTCGATCCGCTAGCGTTTCATCAGATCTGCGACAACGGCAGTTCGCTGCTTCCCGCCTCCAATCACGCTCATCCCCATCGCGCAGCCGCGCTCGGCCACGCCGCCGCCGCGCCCTTGCCCTCGCCCTCGCGCCACGCTCCCTACCTTGGCTAGCGACGGGCAGGAGGTGGACCAAGCTCAAGCGTGGGTTCAGGAGACCCCGATCGAGAAGGCGGCCTCGGAAGGGGAGCAGTCGCGCCGGAAGTGCGGCAGGGGTGGGCAAGAGGCCCGACGACCAGGCCGCGCACACCGAGTCGCATGCCGCCGCCGCCGCTGGCCGGTCACAGAGGAGCCACAACGTTCGTGATGGACGCGAGGCGGGACGTCGCTGCTGTTGGCCAGTCGTGGAGGAGTCGCGGCGTTCGTGCCGGCCACGAGGGAGGACTTGACCAGTACCGTCGCAGCTCCCTCACAACCCGGTTGATGCCCGTCAGCTGCTCGCAGAATTACTTGCAAGGTTTGTGCTCAGATTTGGAGAAGTGGCCTGGGTGTGAGTAGGAGATGAGGTGGGCGCTGCTGCCCTGTCTTCTGTGTTGGTTGTGTTGGCGCTGCGCGGAGTATTTTTGGAGGAAAAGGAGATGGTGCACGACATAATACAATCTCTAATCTTCGTGCTCTGTCCAAAAAAGAATGTTTGTGAGCAGGTGAGTCACTGCTCACTAGCACGGATGTGCTATCTTTGATTCTTGAAAATTAAACTCTTTTTTTTTATAGAATAACACTGAACTCCTTGCGGTTCTGACCTTATGAAACTGGGAATGGCTCTGGCTGCTTGCACAACAAGAGTGGCGTCAATGAGCTCCCACTGACTGCAGTAAAGCCATTCACTCTTTGATATATGCATCATGGGATACACTAGATGTTACAGACCTTCAGTCTTGAGGTTGAAAGCCAATCATCATCAGTAATAGCTTAAGCTGAAGTCTGAACACCTCGCTTCAAACAAAAACTGACTGTAGTAAAGAAGATAGTTGTGCTTGTGCATGCACAGAACAACTCTAACAACTAACCTGTGTGCTTTGACGGAACTAATGTAGATGCTAACATGCTGCAATGTTTTTTCCGTCTCAGTCAAACTCATCCTGAACAACTACTTGCCTACATTATCTTGGAGCAACTGCCTGCCTTATACTCCTGTTTATAATATATAAGGTCTTGTTTAGATTGCAAGTTTTTTCACTCTCTCTCCATCACATCAAATCTTTGGACATATGCATGGAGTATTAAATATAGATAAAAAAATAACTAATTACACAGTTTGATTGTAAATTACGAGACGAATCTTTTGAGCCTAGTTAGGCCATGATTGGACAATAATTGTCAAATACAAACGAAAGTGCTACAATGCCAAATACTGATTCCTAACCCCAATCTAAAAAAGGCCTAAGTATACTGTTATATCTTTAGCAGTTGAGTAGCCATTAGTCAATGCTTCGTCTTTATCTGAAGGGATTGCAAAACGACTATGCATACAGGATGCTATCTCTTTTCTATCTCTATAACTAAAACATTCATAACTATTCCGTTCATAGATGCGACACCAAAGCTGCTTGCTCCCATGCATCCTCGGGTGCGACACCAAAGCCACTCGCTCCCATGCATCCACCCGTGCGGCAACAATCGTAGGCATGAAGTGATGCGACAATTGAAGTTGATGTTTTAGTTTTGCATTCAAATTTAGAGTTATATTTTAACTATCTATCTTTCGTGAAGACTCATGTAATATTGATTGTGACATTATGATTGCGGTATCTATTTTAGATAACAGTATAACACACGCTCATACATATGTTATCGTGGTATTATGTGTTCCCGTTGCAACACACGGACCAATGTTTTTAAGGCGGTAAGGCGAGGCGTGGCGAGTGACTACCGCCTTACGCTTAGGCGACTAAAGCGTGAGGCGAGGCGACGCCTTATGAATTTTTAAAAAATTAAAACAGAAACTCAGAGCAGTAGATGATGAAGAAAAAAGAAAAAGAAAAAAGAAAAAGAAAGGAGGAGTAAGAAGTGGGCTGGCCTAGCCCACCAGGCGGCCCATGTGCCCATCCCCCTCCAGGCATGGCTTATCCCAAACCCTCCACCGCTGCTCCTCTCGTTCTCTACTCTCCACCACTCGTTCCGCCTCGTCTCCCTTTCCGCGGCTCCACCCCTCTCTTTCTCCGGATGCGCTCCTCTGCTCCCCTCTCTCCGGCGCTGCTCTGCTCCCCTCCCTCGCTACTCCCCTTCCAGATCTACAGCCGCTGCAGTCCCCTTCCAGATCGAGCATATGGTGGCGGAATGGAGCAGAGGACGGCGAGGAGGCGGCGGAATCGAGCGGAATCGACGAGGAGACGGCGGAATCGAGGGAGCATCAGCTTGAGCATAAGGCGACAAGGCGCCGCCTTACCCCTAAGGCGAGCCTGGAGCGCCCTGACGCTTAAGCGTCGCTTAAGCGACGATTAGGCGACGCCTTGAAAACACTGACACGGACATTTACCTAGTGATAAAAAAAAACAATCATATCGTCTCCTAACCTCTAAATCCTCCAGCTTGCATCAGTGAGACTCCTGGTTCAAGCGCTTCATCAGACGGACGACATCTGGTCTGGGAGGTACCGCTCAAGAGCTGCTCCACACCTGCACGGTAAGTCTCCACGTTGTTAAGTTCCCAAATCCTCCACGCGTCCTCCTCTTCTCATCTGTGCCAGGAATCCACTGCACTGCTGTTCTTTCTTTAGGTTCTCCTTGTTCCCTCCCATCGACAAGCCATACCACTTTGTGTCCCCCAATCCCTCCAAATCCGCCACACCCACCTCCCACGCCTCCTACTGATCCATCCATTCATACTCCCGAACCGCCTGAAATTGATCTTGCCATTTCCATGCAAGCTCTCCAATTATCGACTCGTTCCCAGCTGGACCTAGATTGGGCAAATGAGGATGAAGCGGAATCTGAGTTTAATTTGTTCATAAAGGTAGAATCCTTGCTTAATCAAGTTGGGGAACCATCCGTCCCACTCTCCCCCACTCGCATGCATTCGATTCGATTTCCCTCCTGCCTGCGCCGCGCGTGGCGTGGATCCGCTGCGCTTTCGCGACGTCTCCTGCAGGTACCTGTTGCGCTGCCGGCCGCTGCCTCTGCCCTCTGCGCCTCGTCGGGCCGTGTGTGCAGCACCAGTGGCCGCGTGCGCCGACCGTCGAGGGAGATGGCGTCGGTGGGCCGCTGGGAGTGGATGGCGGAGGTGGCGGGCGAGGAGCTGGCGAAGCTGGAGGCGGCGCACCCGGGCCACTTTGGCCCGCTCATGGCCGAGCTCGAGCGCCTCGTCGCCGACCCCGGCTTGGACCAATGAGGGAGCGGTCCACCAGGCCACAGAGCAGGCTGCCGCTCAGCAAGACACAGCACCGCAGGGCCAGCAGGTGATTGCTGCCAACGCTCAGAACCCTGCTGGGCACCATGCTGCTGCCTCTGATCAGCCCATCGCTGCTGCCTCTGAGCAGCCCATGGATCTTGACCAAAGCCCAACCCCTTTCACGCCTGATTTCAAAACCCAACAAAAAGGACTGGGTCCATCCAAAACCCAGTCCTCGGGGGCCCCAATTGACCCCAAACTCACGGATTCAAGTCACTGCCAAGTGAGGTTGCTCCCAACTGTCCCAGTTAATGTATGCGGCCAACCTGCTCATGACCAACTTCAACAGGCTCCGGCGCCAGCCTTCCACGGGCGCCATGACTCTCCTGGCGTGGAACTGCCGTGGTTCGGACGGGAACCTCGGCAGTCCTAAGCTGCTCCATCTTGCCCGTCTTATTTCGTCCACAAAAGCTCAAGTAATCTTCGTTTTGGAAACTAGGAACTCCAAAGTAACTGCTCGTGCTTTAATCAATTAATTTAATGTTGACCAAGCTTACATAGTTCAAGCTCAAGGCCAATCGGGTATATAATGGACCTGCTTACACGTGGACTAACAAGAGGTTTAATACTAATCCTACTTATGAGCGTTTGGACAGATTTCTTGCTAATGCAGAATGGTGTGCAGCTTACCCCACAACCTCGGTCTATCACCTGCCGATGATGAAAAGTGATCATGCGCCTATCTTGGCGGTCCTTGAATCCTCTCGTCCAAATGCCAGAAAGCCTTTCCGATTTGAAAATTGGTGGCTCCTTGAAAATGATTTCCAGAAAGTCGCCAAGCAAAGCTGGCAAAAATCCAACTGCAGATCTTTCCACCAAAAAATTTCCTATCTTGCTGCTGACCTCAAAGTATGGAGAAAATCCAAACCCAAACTCTCTGATCAGCTTCGAACCATTGAAGACGCCCTCCTTCAGCAGCAAATGAAACCACCGACTGATCAAAATCAAAGCATCCAAAGAGAGCTCACCTACCAACACCACATAATCTTATCCAAACAAGAAGCCATCCACCGGCAAAGATACAAAAAAAAAATGGTGCATCTCTGGAGACAGAAACACGTCCTTCTTCCACCAAGCAATTCTCACACGAGCCAGAAGAAACCGCATAACTCATCTCCAAAATCCAGATGGCACTGTTTCCACCACACCTCAACAGC